TTTTTTTTTTTTTCCATTCTTGTGTCATCATCTTCATCTGCACCACAGATCAATTATACACAAACCTTCGCATGTCAAGTTTGGCTGGCCGATAAAATACAGCAAGTCCAACTTGAGGTCAAGTCTTAACGCCAATCACACTCACCGACTTGTCTTCTGTTGCAGCAGGCTCGACATACCGCCTTGCCGCTTTTGGAACAAACTTCAGGAATATGAAGTGCGCCTGACCGTAACACAACAGTCTTGATAGTCACACCACAGGTAGGTGCCATGCAGCTTGGAGATATGAAGGCTATAGATATGCTTGACGGTATGGATACGTTCATATAAACCTGCCTGTCTTTGACGTACATTTTTAGGTTCGTCTTGACATATTTTCGGACAAACCGCACAATGAGCCTTTATTGGACAGAATCGGTTCACAGCTCCCTAAACCGCGCTTAGAGTATAATTCAATTAATGCCTTCGACCATCGCATCCTCGCGCACCGCCCGGCCTTCCTCGGGCGATGCTCACATCACCGACCTGCCAATGTTGTGCACTTATATACGTACACTCCACCACCTCGGAGAGATAATGAAATATCGATTCCATCCGGGAGTACCAAATACATGACTAAGGATGACAGACAGCCAGACGGCAGGGCAGATGAGTTACTAGGATAACACAAGCTCAAAATCGACAGCGAAGATTAACGCGGGACAAAGTATGTAAACAACGAAGCATACGGAATACCAGCGTCGGGGGCGCACGGCTTTTTGCATAAATACATCAACGACAACATCCAAGAGGCGGCCAGACGGGACCTGCTATCCGCGAGACAAGCGCGGCGATCCAGACCCAGACCGAGGCGCACCGGGAGGGAGAGGGCTCGTAGTCCATCCACAACATTCAAGAAATGCTATACACTAGCGCGCGTGCCGCCCCACACGGCGCGCTCACTCTACGCCTGTGACGCTGTCGGAGCTGAACCATTCTCGGAAGTCCTCCTCAAAATTCAGCGCACCACCGCCGTCTTGCCCGAACGAGAACTCGTCCAGCCCAGGCCCCATAGAGAAATCAGCTGAAGAAAATAGCGAGGCGCCCAAATCAGGCGCCGGCGGCCCCGGTGGGATGCTAGGAGCCATAGATGGTGTTGACGAGTTATTCATCATCGCAGACGGCGAGGGCGCCGGCATGCTCCCTGCCGGAGGCTGGTTACTCGGGGTATGTGGAGCAGTCGACGTTCCTGCAGGTGCACCACCGCTGGGAGGAGGCTGGCCTTGACCCACGCCCGCGGGAGCGTTCTGTGGCGACGCGTCCACTCGTCCATTCGGTGCCGACGAATCGCCGCCAGAGCCATCCTTGTTCGGACCAGCCATGTTCTTAGGGGCGGACATGCTTGGTGACGGTGGCGGTGGCATCATATTCCCCATAGGCTTGTTCTGACCCATGCGGTTTGGCGGGCCTCCGGGAGGAGCTGGAACGCCAGGAGGGTATTGACCTGCAGGTGTTCGCAAACCGTGAGCCATATTGAGGACGTTGTCAAATGCGGGAGGCGAACCAGTCACACCAGGGGGAAGTAGAGTGCTCAATGCGCCATGTGGAATATTGTTCTTGTGCAAATTATGCATGGTTTGTCGATACTGCATCTGATCACGATCGATGTAAAGTCAGCACATAATTTCAGATAATGATGCAAAAGACGCCATTTCGCTGACCTGTGATATCTGCTGGTTGTTCATCATACCGTTTGGCGGCGGGTGATTCATCATTCCCGGACTCATCGTGTTGCCCATTTGTTGCGGACCACCTAGCCCTGACGACATGGCCATATTCATGCCCGGATTGTTACCCATGCCTTGCATAGCCTGATGGCCAGGGAACATCGGTCGCATCATCCCATTTGGCGGCATGTGAGACGGCCCTCCAGGACCGCCAGGTTGTAGTCCGTGGTATGGACCCGGGGCCAATGGCGTCATAGGAGGTTGCTGGGGAGGCTCTCCCGCTGTTGACGAAACGCGCAGCCGCTTGCGATCGGGAGGAGAGGCGTCATTCCTCGGTATCTGCTCTTGCTGAATGAGTGAAATAACATTAGCGCCAAGTGTTACCAGATTGGCGCAGAGAAAATACGAACTTCGTGGCCTGGCGAAGCACTATTTCGCTTGTTACCGCGTTGCTGCTGTTGCTGCTGTATTTGTTGTTGTTGTGCTTGACCCTGTGGCTGGCCTTGCGGTGGATGTTGCGAGTCTGGAGGCATTTGCGGGTTCCGCTGCTGATTTGGAGGGCCTGAAATTGAGGTCGAAGGGCCTGCAGCAGCATTGCTTGGCCCAGGTGGTCCCAGAGGTCCCTGCTTGTAAGGCGTCAGCTGCCCTTTTCGTTTAGCGACATTAATCAGCCGTTGCTATAAGGTCGTCAATATGGTATTTCTAGATCCAGCAACGTAAGTGTACCTTCTCTTCTACAGAGAGTGAGGGCAAATCCTTATCACCGACACCAGCCTCCTGTCGAAGTTGATGCAGAGCTTCTTGAGGCAAACGAAGAATTTCGTTCAACATCTGAGTGTCGAGCCGTATGTCCCCTGTGTGCATATTGGGGATTGCACGCGCCTGTAGGGAGGGACTAGGTGATGGGATCATACCATTCGGACCCGGAGAGTTTGGTTGACTGGGCGATCGTCCATGGGGCTGCTGAAAGCCAGGTTGTGGTGTATGGGAGGGACCCAGGGCACTAGAATGAGCATTGGGGGGTAACATCCCGCGACTGTTCATCTGGTTGGAGAGTTGGGCATTGCCTATGGAACCCAATGCAGCTGCGGGATTGTGCTGCTGCCCTTGGGCGCTGGGGTTCTGCGATAAATACGGCATGGCGGCTAATCGGTATGGTGTATCTTCGCGAGGGACACGCTGTTGAACACCTACCGGTCTTTGTCCTGGCTGCACCTGTTGTGCACCAGGGGGCTGTGAGGGTGCCGACGCACCTGGAACACCCGAAGGTCCGGAGGTCCCATTCATATGGGATGCGCCTGCAAACGAGGATTGGGTGCCGTTTGGCATGGGTCCTTGGGTGGAAGCGACTCCGTTGGGTGCAACGCCGTTCGGAATAGGGCCGTTGGGTGGATTAGGTCCGGGTCTGGGAACGCCGCTGAGCATACGCGGCTGTGGTGGCTGGGAAATTCGCGCTTGTTGTTGTCGGTGTGATTGGTGCTGTGGCAGCCTCTCAGAAAGACTGGACGACGGCAGAGGAGTACGAGACGCACCTGGACATACAACATAGCATCATCCGGCCCCGACATACTACTCTTTGCTGTGAATAAAACCCAGAAAACGCTCCACCATCTAGGGAGGGCACGCGAGTTAGCGCGGGTGCAAAAGAGACAAAATTGAGCTCACTCGAAAAGCAGGCCCTGTTTGGCATTTATGGGTGGTTGAGAATCTGGAGTGATCGCGGCATCATGGACCAACGCTTCGGCTGTCTTGGTGTATCCACGCTTTAGACAATAATCGTAAATATATATGTTGAACCTCCAGGCGAGGAACTATGAGCATCAGCGGACGAGATGGAGATGAGAGAGACGACACACATTTTGTCGCCATCCCAAGACTGAGCATTGGAGGGAGAGTCGGCCTGGGAAGCGCCATCCGCGCTTGTGGCCATTGCTGGCAAGGGCGACGAGAAGAGTGTGGCAAGATGACACGAAAGCAGAAGGCGACTGCGAGGAGATAGCAGATATGACTGGCTGGAGCCGCGAGGGAGATATTGTCAAGATCCTGATGTGTGGGATGGTTGAGGCGCAGACGGGGTGGATGGCGGGAGGGACGAGGAGACGCGCAGAGCACGGGCGAGGGGGACGAGGGCAGGCGGGAGGACGACGACGGCGGGGGGAGGGGGAGCGTCGTGGACGACGGCGAGGAGAGAGATGGTATCGCCTGGGATGGGAAGGAGGGCGCAGGCTGGCGCGGTGCAGGCCAGAAGCGCGAGGACGCCCGATGAGAATCGGGCGGGGGGACTTAAGTAAACTCAGCCGGCAGTCTGCGCCCGTGCGAAAGCTGCCCACTGCAATCTGAGATGAGTCCTCCACGCTCTCGCTGAGTCGGGCCACCGCGCCCTCCCAATCTCAAACACTGTCCCCACAACTCCGTGTCTCGTCCAGAAAATACCGACAGACCGCCCACGGGGGCGTAGACGAATTTATCAGATTTTATTGACCGTGATACGCGCGCAGTCCCATCGCGTCCAGAACATGCCATATGGGCCACATCCTCGAAAGAGAACGCCGCTGCTGAGGACTCGGATCGGAGACGCTCTCTGCCGGGATTTTGGTTGTCAACTCCGCGCGGAACTGAGGTTTCTGAGGCGGGGCCCAACAGTCTCCGCGCGGAATCCAACCGGGCCCGACAGATCGACGGCGCATCGACCAGTCGGTCGCCCTGCGCCGCCATGATCCATGATTATAATATTAGAGCTACTCTACCACACCCAGCACCCTTCAGTGCCGCCGCACGGCCGCGATCTGAAAGTCCCATCCCCCGAGCACGTATTTCACCTCAAACAGCCGTCTCAGCTCCCTCCACCCTGCACTCGCCTCCTCGAATTCGCGCCGGTCCGGGACGACGTAGATGAAGTCGGCAGGCGACAGCAGCGACCGCAGGAACGACCCCACGAGGAACGCGATAAGCGCGACGATAACGACCGTCGACAACGGGTAACTTCCTCTCCCTCCAGCCCTCCGTGATAGCAGGCCCACCCGCTCGCCTCTCGCATCCGGCGCACCGGCCCCGTCCTTCCTTTGGCCGTCCCCCGCTATCGAGCCCGGGACATGCTCGCACGAGGGCGCAGCCGGCGAGTGCACGCTAGAACGCCTAGACTGCGTCGTGAATCGCAGAAGAGGGTTGGGATACGCGTTCAGGAAGCGCAGAAGTCCATTCGTGGACGAGTCAGCTGCTGGCGTCTCGGGGATAGAGACCGCAACTTGCGGAGCCTGGTGCGTGCGCCGCACACGGAACTTCTCAGCAACCGTCATCTGACATGGGTGTAAATGGTATAAGCGCTCACATTGTCACCCGCGTCCGCACTATCCTCTGGCACGGCGCTGCTGCTCTTTGTCGTGTCCGGCGTGTCGCGCTGCGACACACCCTGCAGCGCGAGCGACGCATCCTCCAGCAGATGGTCGGCCACCGCTACCGCCTCCTGCAGCTCCTCCGGGATTGCGTCTCCGTCCCCAGATGAGCTGTAGCCTCTGGTCAGTCTTCCCCGCACGCTGCAAACATGCAAAATGTTCGCACCCGGCAAGAAGGTCCATTTTGAGCGCCCTACTGTCCACTAGGTCATCTCGTCCGAGACTGCTCAGAGACTCCTTCTCAGCGAGGACGGTCACTGCGTTTCCGTCTGCAGTGACTGTTGTCTTCTTGCTCGAGCGTCCTGCAGGGGCCGGCTTGATCTGCACCTCTAGGATGACGCGCCCCTCCTCCATCTCCGAGAACCATTGCGGCTTTGGCGGCGCACTACGTACCTCGCCCGTCAACGGGTCCTGTATCGTAGAAACCTGATATTGCGCCGTGGGCAGCGTCAAACGGAGCAGATGCCGCGGCGGGCGGTCGGTGTTCAGTCCTGCAGAGTGCAATGGCGACGGGGGCAGGGTGAACGCGGAGTATGAGAATGGCAGTTTCTGTTCCGGGGGCGCGTCTCCGACTGGAGAGGAAAGCGACACACGCGTCTTCGACCTGTCGATCCGTGATGCGAGGTGGATTTCGTAACCATCAGGGTACAGCTTCGAGTCGATGACCAATTCGGATACAAGCAGGTCTTTGGGATGCCGAACTTCGCCCCGGGATGTAAAAGTGGAAGTTCGTGCGCCGTCGCGGGATCGAGACCGACCTGGGTCAGGAGATACGCTCTTGGTTTGCGAGGTCGATGGCGGCAAATCGGAGAGTTCTTCACTTCTACTCTGTCGTTGCTCATCTGGAGGAGATTTCGCTCTCACAGTTAGGGTCATCCTGCGAGCTTTGGGAGTCGCATCGTTGAAATGAGACGAACGCCGTGGGGACAACGCGGTAGAACTGTTGATGATCATCGAGCTCTTGTACGCTCTATTTGCAGGATCATACCTTGCCGCGATCAGCGTGCGGTTAGAGTCTCGACGCCGGAGGGTCCACGCTGTCTGCCTTAGAGGATCCTCGACAACTGGCGAGAGCGCTAAACCCACGGAAGGAAGCCTCATCAGAGGGGGAGACGATATACTCTTCACGTAAGACTCGACGGCGATGATTGACTTGGGTAGCATTCCGTTGATCATCGAGTTCACCGCTGCAGGTACTGAGCCTGCGTAGTCGACCGCGACAACACGAGTGCATTTTGTCGACGGAATCGCGTAGTTTTCTGCACCGTATGGATCGAGAGTCTCCAGAATCCATCCATCAACGTAGACCCGACCAACTGGAAGTGAATACGAGTTGTACTTGGAAGGAGAGAACGACGAGACGGACTCTGGAGAGAAAGACGCTGATACGCAATAGATCGCCGCTCGCTGGTCCTGAGAGTGTTCAAGGTCGCTAGCAATGCGCCGAGACGATGACGAGGACGCAGTTTCTCGTGCCGTCAGCGAGGCTAGATAGAACCCTCTGTCACGAAACGGGAAGGCCCCCTTCATCACGACAAATTCCGTGTGTAGGTCGGCCCCGAATACCTCGAAGACGTGTACGGAATCAAATCGTGTATCCCAGTTCTTTCGGCAGTCATAGTTCGCCAGAACAGAAGCAAGTTCCTCCGCAGAAACGCCTTCAATAACCTTTTCGCCCTTGTGCACTGGAATAACGGGCGATATCTCTGGATCCGTCTTGCGATACACAGGAAAATCCTTTTCACTGACCAGCGCCCAACCTTCGGATTTGGGACGCGCATGGACGCTCTGAAGGTACGATAGGGCTTCCAGCGCATATTGCATAGGAGGCTTCGATGCCGACGGAATTGCATCCATGCCATTAACCATAGCGGGAGAAATAGCAGCGACGGCTTGCTGTGTCGTCACCGTTGCCTGCTCTACAGCAAAGCTGAAAAACTTGTTAAAAGAGGCCACAAACGTCGGCACAGACGTGACAATGCCATCGGGAGTCGGCAACCTGCTGGGCTCGTCCGGAGTCTGTGTACCAGCATCGGCGTCCCACTCTGCTCTCCTCCTCCGGATCACGCCAATCACAGGTGGCTGGTCAAGAGGCACTCGCGCAGGCTTGACACGCTTTCGCTTCTGCAGATTCTTCACCTCACGATCCGGCAGCTCCTCCACGTCCACATCCACCTTGGCACCATTCACCATGACCAACCCCTTTTCCTTCGGAGCGCTCATCGGACCTCTACGCACAATAATTTGTAGCCGTTCCTCTTCTCCACCAACGGCATCATGAGTGATCGTGAGCCAAAGTCCACCCCCGCCAGACGACAGCCGATGGCGGCGGAGACAAGATATGGACTGTGGCGGAGGATCAACCACAATATCCAGCGACGAAGCCCAGTTGTCTAGATCGCATCGTAGCTCGCACTCGATGACGGGTAGTCCGGCCGAAGGGGGTGGGGTAATAGTAGTAGGCGAGTCCTCCGAGCTCTGTACCCCAGAGGTCCGACGGCTTGTACATGGCTCGTACTCAAAGCGGAAGTTGCCTCTTTCGTGGTCATATCGAGATTGCATCGCTCTCGCGCCTTCTAGTCGCGTGACGATGGGAGGGCCTCCACACCTGATGGCAAATTCACCTACACCTGCAACAGCAAGGATCATCTGCTGGGGAATCGAGGCCTTGTTTGACCATCCCTTGGGGTCGGACTGTTCGAGCAGCGTTAGCTGGGTCGTTGTAGGTGAGAGTGCCTCGATAGCCCAGCCTTGCAGGTCTATTTGTGTCCGGATGACGTTCGGATCAGCTGGTGGAACGTGGGGAAACAAGTTTGGATCGTCGGCAGAAAATGCGAAAATATGTATCGTAGTCGGAGACTTGTATACGGTCTTCAGCACGACCGAGTCTCGTTCCCTAAAGGATAACTCAGGTTCTACATGCCGCGTTTCAAAAGCGATGAGATAACGTACGTGACCGGCCACGCGGGCTTTGTCTTGTGGTGCCACAGCTCCGTGAGTTCGTTCAGATCCTCAATCAATACACTATCGTCATACAGCTTGTCCCAATAGGCCCGCGCGCCTGGTGTTGCGATAGCAGAATAGAGATCCCACAATCCTAAACCGACAAACGTAGCCTCTGCGCGATACACCACGAGGGTAGGGTCAATCGAGTCGAGTTGAGCAATTGTAACACCCCTCGCCTCGACATCTTCGCGGAGCATAAGATTCCTTCAATACACAGCAAATACTGCACTTACTGCGCTTCCACTTCGCCTCAGGCTCTTGCATCAAGGATGAGAAGTATATATAGTTACGCTTCACTCTCGAAAGAATTGACTTGTCTCCCGCAGCGGTGCGCGCCGACGCTGCACGTCTCAGCTGGGGTCTGTCTGCGATTGTAGACGACCTTGATGCGCTCTCAGCAATAGAGCCCATAGAAGATTGTCCGTTGAGGCTCATATCTGCTGCACTTGACATGTCTTGCAATACCTGTGCGGGAACTGTGTGTGTCAAAGGATCCCGTTCCTCAACTTGTTCTATCGACTGTGGTATACCATTGATGCGTATTCCGCTGGATGGTCCTGATAGCTCGACAGTAACCCTGACTTTCAAGACCACATGATCGTTGGGAAGTGTCGCGTGCTTTACAGCAAAAATCACCTTCTCATACTCTCCAGTGGTCGAATCTGACGTCGGTGCACTTCGTGTCGCGTGCGCGGTCCAGGGTAGCTGCGAAACTTGCTCAGATGATGCCTTCGTAGTGATCTGTACATCCCAACCCACAGACGCGGGTAGGGCGCACTCCACCGATCGGGCGAGTCTCCTATGCTGACGAACAGCATATAGCTCATTCAATCCCTGTTCCATTGTATGCGGAGTATCGTCGTCGTCTTCGGGAACTATTGAGTAGTCCAACGTGAGAGCTTCACGATCGACTTCAAACCGCACACGCTCGACAGAAACCCCGTTCCCAAAACCAATGAGCTGAGGGACACGCGCCCCTCGCTCCTTGACAGTCTTGTAAAGGCCGATCATCATCGCGCACAGTTGCTGCGCTAGACTTGATGTGGAGTTGAATGTCCACAGCGCCTTCAGGTTATGCTGCCAAAAGCAAGTGATACGTATTCGTGGGCCGTATTTGGATGGCGAGAGCGGGTCGTTTATGAGCTGTACGCACCAAGCGAATACTAAGAAAGGTCAGAAAGGGTATAACTAATCAAAATGGGAATACGAACGAGCCACTTCCGATCGCACATATGGCGGGGAAGGTCGAATGAAAACTGGCGCATCAGGCGAGCGAGGTAAAGACGTCGAAATATCGACCAGGGTCGTGGAGTCGTTAAAGGAGCGCGAGACTATAACCGCGTCCCTCGGACTTTATCCAGGTTAATATCAAGGCTAAAACGAGCTCCACGCATGAAGACAAATACTCACTTGGCTGGCCATCCAAGCGTAAAATTGATCTTCGAGACTCTCGTAGCTTGATCGAGCATCTCAATGATGTGCGCGCTCTCTACAGCGGGATCCCACTCTTTTCTCAGCTCTGGTGCAGATAAGACGGCCTTCCAGCATTCAAGAGAAGTTGGCGCATCTGTGATGGGCACATCCAGGATAGCTCGGTATACGGTGTCGCCGCCTTTTACGGCCTTCCTGTGCAGGAGGACATCTGTGACTTCGGGGATAGGTGATGCCCGTGCTTTTCCCTTTCCGCTGCTGTCGACGGAGAGAGGGGTCCGCTTCCAATCCGGTGATGCATGGGAGGCCAAAAGCTGGCGAAAATACGTGTCAGCGTCGTCGAGCGAAGCATACCATGACTGGCGTAGTCTGCGTGTGCACGTCAGAATTACGTATTCAAGCTGAGGCATTTCACTTACCCAGTCCCGTCAAGCATATATGTGTACAATTAAGATTATAGGGCGAGCAGAATGGTGCTGCAGAAACTCCCGCACCCGAAGTGAAAGATGTTACGTTACGGCAGAGTAAATGCGGCCTCAGCAGGCTACAAGTACAAGTTCAAGGCGATTGCCACTTGGAGCTACTCAGTCACGTGAACACTTTCCTTTTGGAGACATTATCACTGGACAGCGCCGTCACAGCGTATTTCGGTCCACAGATTGTGGTAGTCACTAACGATAGCTGCTATAAGTTGGTCGTACTCAAGTTACCATCGCATGAGATGACGAGCCCGAGGACTCCCACGTCCTAGCAGAAAGATCAGTGTTCCTCTAGGACTGGTCCGAGACGTGATTTTTCATCATTCCTCCGAGTTGCTCCTTAACATGCTTAGAGGTAAGTGCTGGTCAAAGTTACACGCTAGTAGCGGTGTAATGTACTCTCACCAATTCGATTCACCGCGCTACAACCCGTTAGGACGGCATGCGCCGGCCTGGTATCATATCATAGTTCCGGCCAGTAATGATGCAACTGCATTTATCAACTGCCAAATGAACGGTGATCGCTACGTCCACATCAGCCTACGAGTCCCCCCCTAGTAGCCTACTTACCAAGTTTGAATCTCTAGTTGCGGTGAGCATAATTTTTAGTGATTCAATCAACTTGCTGTGCAGTCGTTGAAATTCTGGTTTTTCTAAGTTGAGTAGGGCGTTCCGCACGGTTGCCAGAGCCGATCGCCCAGCGCTATTTCTTGTGGGTGTTTTGCTACTTGATACAGATCCAGGCCAGCACTCAAGCTGATTCGTTACATAACGACTAATCAGGTTCATTGTTCAGCACAATTCCCCTAGTTTCTGTGTTTTTCATTGTGTCCCGTCATCTCGCTTCGCTTGCGCGCCGGAGCCAGTTCATTCAGACCAGCTACGAATCTCCCCGCAAGTTAACAAGAGGAGTCAATAGCAAGTGTTACTTTCTGCACATAACCAGGCACACGGTGGTTTTGTGGAAGTACTATTGCCCACGGTATTTGAATTTACAAATGCAGTTAATATTGTTCAGTTTAGACTAATTGATATTATAGAACGTCTTAAACAGGTTTAGACCGCATCATCCCATCAACTATCGTCAAAATCCCGATGCATTTGTCTGGAGTCGGGGTCGTGACCCCTCTCCGCACTCTTGTGTTTGGGATGAAGTCAGGCAGGATCCACCCTGATCAGTTTTATCATGCTCTTGATCACAATCTACGGTGGTTTTGAGATCCCGTCAGCGATTTAAGCGAGGTAAAAATTGAAAATATGGGAACTTAACGTCCAAACGGTGTCCAGAAATTCATCCAGTGGCTAGTGCTTGCCATGGCTATGCATCAGCACGCGTCTATCTTCTGGTGACATTTAAACCGCCCACACAGTCTACTTGCACCCACCCCTCGACCCCATCTCTTTTCCTCATCATGTCCAAGAATCCGACCAAAGCTTCACCAAACCCATCTCCCACATGGAAGTCTTATTGGAGGCTGACAAGGATTCACCTCTGGCCTGCCGGTACCATCCTCTTCTTTTGGCCATGCAGTACGTGAATTTTAAACCACTAATCTGACATGACCTGACAACTGGCGTCCAGTGTGGGCATTAACAATGTGTGGGTACGCGCTTGGGCTTCCACCGAGACAGCTTGCCATCCAGGCATTCGCCTACCTTGTCGGTTGCACCATCCGGCATAATGCCGCATGTATCTGGAACGATATTTGTGACAGGGAATTTGATCGTCAAGTTGGTACGCGCGCTCCCACGTTAGGACTCTCGCAATCGTTTGACGGGAAATCACAGAACGTACGAAGTCTCGACCTATAGCTTCTGGCTCAATCACTGTTCCCGCGGCGCTGCTTTTTCTCGCCGTACATTGCTTCGTTCTCATTGCGGTGCTCGCATTGGCGGGGCAAGAAGCGTACGTGTGGTTCGTCGAATGTCTTGTCGCTCTGACTCATGTGATCACAGATCCAAAGTGGGACTCTTCGGTCTGCTGACATTTGAGATGGTCTACCCTCTGTCAAAACGTTTCACCAACTGGCCACAGGCATGGTTAGGCGAGTATTGAAATGCGCCGGATGACGAGATGATCTTGGGAACTTACGCTGTTCCCAGGGTTCGATTGTGCTTGGGGATTTCCAGTCGTGTGGATTTCGAACGTAGGCTCCGCTGACTGGAAGCTGATGACTGTCATGATAGTGGGGGTTGTCTGGTAAATTATCAGAATCATTCTGATAGCTTTCGATATCCTCTCACATTTTGTCCCAGTTGGACCATTCACTTTGACACCATTTATGCATGCCAAGACAAAGAGGACGACGTTCAAGCTGGAGTCCACTCTTGTGCCCTTCTGTTCGGAAATTATATTCGGCCCATCTTGGCCCTCTTTGCGGCTGCCTTCGTAGGCTGCCTCGCGTACGCAGGACATCTGAACGGCCAGAGTCCGCTATACTTCGTGATCACCGTTTTGGGCACCGCCCTTCACCTGATCTGGCAGCTTAGCCATGCTGATCTGGAGAAGAACGGTGGGAAGATTTGGAAAGTAAGTGGTTTCTCTTAGCCATAGATTTTACATGCGTCCCCACCGAGCTCATCACTGTTCCCATCTGACAGTCCAATGGCGGTCTTGGCTATCTGATTTGGGGAGGCATGATATCTGATTACACGTACAAGTTGATGGTATAAGTGTTGTTGTAGCGACTAGATATGGATGTGGTTTGCAATACGCCTGCGCGACTTGCAGTATTTCGCGTGCATTGTAATCTTGTACTTGGAGATACGAGAAGTTGCGTCGCATCAAAAGAGACGGTTCCAAGTTTGAACGTCCTTTGTCTAAGCTACCATTAACGTCTAACTGAGTTCAAAGACATAAGTTTGGTACGACGCCGTTTGAACAGCATTCCAACCCAATGTCTTTCGCTCAGCACCTCCTGTCAAATTCGATTTGGAATTTGAATGCTTTCATAATCTGATTAGATTACCACTTTCAAATGAAGTCGAGTCATGTCGCATCCGGCCGCCTGCACTGCATTGATTGTTGCAAAGACGCGTCATAATGTCGCAAACAATGCTAGGGCGAATTCTCAGTATCCAGTCTCATGTCTCATTCGGGTATGTGGGAGGGAAGGCTGCAGTGTTCCCCCTGCAATGCCTTGGATATGATGTAGATGTGCGTTCTGATACTGGCATGATTCCTAACCAAATGTCAGCTCATGGTACTTTTAGGTGATAAACACTGTTAATTTCTCTAACCATTCTGGTATGCTCAATCCATATGTTTGATGTGTGTCGTTAATTGCTTCCCGCAACAGGATATGGCCGGTTTGGAGGCACGAGGACTACTGCAGCTGAACTTTCCGGGATCTTTGGTCTGATGGAAAAGAATGAGCTGCTACTATGCGAGCGATTGCTCACAGGTTTGTGTCTCTTATCTCGTTCGTCGACGCCTACTGACTCATAAAAGGATATGTCCCTGGTGCGGAAGCGTTATCTGCTGTTCTGGGTTTGGCTGCCAAGATGCGGCGGCAAAATACAGAACTCATATATCTGCTAGACCGTGAGTATGTCATTAAATGCTACAGCCATGTCTGATTGTGGTATACTGTCCACAGCTGTCTTGGGGGATGCAGGCAAACTGTATGTTGCACCTGACACGATACCAATATACCGCGAAGCCCTACAATACGCCTCAATAATAACTCCAAACTGGTTTGAAGTAGAGTCAGTTGACCTTGCCTCCCCGGCCCCTGCATGAATTCACTGTTAACGCATGACTAGGATATTGACCGACGTCCGAATGACGGACCTGGCTTCTCTACAGCGCGCTATCAAGATTCTGCACAACGAATACCACGTGCCCAACGTCGTGATCAGTTCGATCCCACTTCGTGAATGGCTCCTCAAAGCGCTGCCTGCGGATGTCCACACGCAAGTTGCACCGTCGGATCTCGACTTCCTGGCATGCATAGCCTCGTCCTCACACGTAACCGCTGACACGTCCACGAAGCCAGCGGTACATGTAGCATGCATCCCATGTCTCCCGGGGTACTTCTCCGGCGTGGGGGACCTCTTTTCTGCGCTTGTTTTAGGGCACTTCAACCTCCCTCGAACCACATCCGCGCCTGCAGGCGGGGCACCAGAGACTCCACTGTCATACGCAGTATCGCAGGCATTGACAAAAACACATGCGATCCTCATGTTGACACACCAGCATGCCGCGAGCCTTCCGGAAGCTGACCGTCTACCCACCGACGAGGAGCTGGACACCCATGAACCGGACAGGAAAGTACGGCGGATGCGTGGGCGAGAATTGAGGCTGATACAGGGACAAGACATTATAAGAGGCACGCGACCATCTCTGTACAGACAGATGATGCCTTGGCCATCCTTCTGGGAGACGTAGAGATCCACACAATAGATATACTAGACATAGAAGCCAATCTAGAACCTAACATCAGTATAACGTATGGATGCGAAAGTAGGTATACATGAATTCCGTAATCCTGTAAGCTGTCCATATGTCAGCTGCCTCCAGTTGTAGTCCGGGTAGGTCTCCGCCGTCGTCTCCGATAGTATCTGATTGCTATGACTGCCAATCCACTGAGTACCACCCCCAACACTGCACCTAACACTTCCGCGACCACATCGCTCGTTGTCTGGGTGCTTGATGGTGATGACATCTTCAGAGGAGCTGCAGATATGATGGGCGTAAACGGAAGGATTGTAGCTGATTGCGGTAGTATGGTTGACGCGAATGGTGATGTTCTGAGAGATGGAATTGAGACGACAGCAGTTTCCCGATGAAAAATGATCACCTACTGGTTACTAGGCGTAACAATCGTCAAGTTCGAGAAATCCAACCGTGTCCCCTTGTCAGACGCATTAATGTACGTAATGGTTAACGTAGTGGCACGATCGCCTGGTAAATCGACCACGGCGATGAGGCCGACCGCCGTGTCCACCTGAGATGTGATAGATACTGTAGGATCTTGAGTGGAAAGGGACACGTTTGCCATTGCGGTAGACGACGATGATGTCCATATATATAGCTGAATACCTATGCATGTCATATATAACTCGGTGTTGGTATGTAAAGTAATCATGGCATACCGGTGAATGTCAGAAACATTTGTGGTATCAAGTCTCCACTGGCGGCGGTGGGACCATCGGTTGAAGCAATGTCGATACCAGACCCATCGGGAGACGGTATGAGACGCCTTCAGCACATGTTAGTGAGTTAGAGCTAGAAACTACATCCGCTGATGAACGCACCAAGCGCTAGCGCAAGTCTCCACCGTACCACTGCATAATGGAGGGCTGTACACGATCTCCGACGCGGTAGATTGCAACGTCACATTGACTTGACCATTGACAAGGAGGAGCACGCCCAAACCGAACAGCCAGCTATGTAGAAGGTGTCCAACCTGCATGTATACGGACGCAAAGATGGACGATCCCCTAGGGTTACATGCGACAAATTTGCATAGCAGCAGGGGGGAAGATCTGCTGTCGTATACTACTTACATATATTTATGTCATGGCAACCAGATGACCGTAAGGTCGAAGTGACGCCCGCAATATACATCCTCGGCTCACGGTTCCGTGTGAGTCTGGAGGATATTAAGTGGACTCCATCCAGCTGGATGCAAAACTCGGTCCTTGAGCTACTGAGGTGTCGTAAGGGCTAGTTGAGGCAGCTTCGAGGGTTCTCAGTGGACGAGCTAGAATTCTAGATTTTGTCGTTGCCACAAATGTGAACAGTCCACGCGTGTGCAATGCGGACGACGCCAAGGAGCAAGATGGGAATTGGGTTACCCAAGTTTGGTTAAATATTTGACAGATTATATAACTTATATACTGATCGCCTGTATAGAATATCGTCTTGAATAAATTCGATTCAATATGATCCATTTAAGAGCACGGAGATTTACCGGAATTCGGATAAGCCTCTTGCCATGCGGTCACGCGCCTAATCATGTGCATATTCCATCAAATCTGAGACGCGGCGTGTGCATTCGACCTGGACGAGCTTGCTCTCCTCCTCCGCGTGTCTGGCGTCGTCCGCAACGTTTCCTGCAGGAAACCTCACTCTCATTTCGACTGTCCCTCTTTATACTGCGCCCTCCTTTCGAATCACAAAATCTAAAATGGCCGACACTATTCACGCCCGGAGGATGGATGTTCATCGTCGCATTGCTGGCCGAGACATCTTTCAAAGCATAGATCCCCTAGGTCCCTTTACCTTTGGTCCCCCTAATACGGTGCAGAGTGAGTCTTGCTATTCTGATATGTAACAATATTGTGTTGTAGTGGTCAAGTGGGGAAGATGCACCATATCTCTTGGGCTCGGACGTGGCCCACAGGTGATTTCATCATCAGTCGCAAATGCTTTCCAGAGCATCGAGGCTGTTATAGCAACTATCGTGTGTAGGAACTTTCTGGTGATGTTCCCCACCCGCATGAATATTCAACTATTTCTGCACGTCTTCTCGACATCTATGTCATAGCAGCCTGTCGATAATCTTTCATTCTCTTTTGTTGTCTCTTCGGCGAGGCTGATCAAATCTTCCAGCTTCTCCGACCCTGGCTCCGGCACCGCCTTCAACCTCCATACCTCCCACTAAGCCGACTACGACCCAGACCACTTCGGACGACAAACCAACTCCGTCAAACGCGACTACCGCCAAGACTTCGACTTCGTCGTCGCGTGTCTCGTCCACAACGGGCTCATCTGCCTCGAACTCGACGGCTTCGTCCTCAAAGACGACGCCCACGACGTCGAGCACCGCGACTTCGACATCATCTACGTCGTCCTCGACTTCGTCGTCCACCTCATCCTCGTCCTCATCGTCCCCCTCCCCCACAAGTACTACTCAGTCTGCCATCACTTCACTTACGACTTCAAATCCTATTGCGGTATCTACCACCCCACTTATACTTACATCGACTGTCCCAACCGCGTCTTCGCTGTCGCCTTCTCTCACAGCTAATGGCGCTGCCGCTAGTGCTTCTGCGTCCTCTGATTCTGTCAGCACGGGGGCCATCGTCGGCGGGGTTGCAGCTGGAATTGTTGGCGTGGCTGGCATATTATTCGCAGCACTCTACTTCTGGGTTGGTTCTGCTCTTGAGTGATATAAAACGATCCACTCACACATCATTGACAGCGTCGCTCTCACAGGCACGATGATGACACCGAGGATGATTTCAGTGCGCGTGCACTCAGACACCAGTCGGTCATTCTCCCAGACGAAGGTATGCCATCACGTTCGGGCTCCATCCACCGCGGACCCAGCCCAACGCCCCCAAATGTGATGGAGCAGACCATGACCGACGCCGGTATGCCCGTAGCACTCGGTTCGGGATCGACTTTCCAGGGCTACGGTGCGCACGGTGGGTACTACAAGGACCGTTATCCCGCCGAGCAGTCGTTTGAACCGGGTCAATACGTTCCTACGAACGCTGGAACGCCCGCGCAGCCGATGATGAATCCATTCGTGGCATCGTACGGCCAATTGCCCCTCGCCGCAGCTGCTGTCAACGGCTCTCCGTACGCCTACGCAAATTCCGCGCAGCAGTCGGTCTCTGGGCAACCATCGAACGTTGCAGGGCCGTACTTTGTTCACCGTTCACCCACCAGCCCAACGCCTGCGTTAACCCGCCAGCCAACCTTTGTTCCCGCCCAGAATGTGTCGCACGCGCCGTCTAGCGTTGTCACGTCGAACTTATACCGCCAGCCGTCCGATATTGTTGCTGACCTCCTGTCGCGACAACAGTTGGGAAATGCGGCACAGTATTTGAAACGACAGTCGCCTCCGGGGAACTCACCGCCAGGGCAGTCTGGTCCTGGTGCGCATTATGTTGATCTGAGTCGCTCCAGTGTCACGCCGTTCCAGGCGGCGCAATACTCGGAGATCTCACGGCACTTAAACATCTCTTCGCCATTGCCCATGCCGTCGCCGGAGGCTGCCGCTGAAGCGGCCCGCGTTGCTGTGAGGAGCGATCCGACCGTGGCACAGAATGCTGCATCTCCTGCTCGCCATTCTGGAAATGCAATGATCGACACTGTGTCTAACCCGGATGTCCCAGATCGTGAGCAACTCAAGTCCCCCTTCGATGATCCTGAGGACGTGCATGGAGTGGTGATGGATTCTGAAGGCCACGATGACCGCTTCGTTGACGCTCCCGAGAGCGTTAGGTCGAATCGCGACTCTTTTGCACCGCCCCCTTCGCCACGGTTCGAGTCTCACGTCCGTGTGCCATCCACTCCGCCTATTCTCCCAGAGATTCAAGTCCCCCAGCGCTCATTCTCGCCGATCTCTACGCCTGCATTCATGACGCCCATTGGACCTTCCCCGTTAGTTTCGTCGACAGTTTTACCGCCGCCTCCGGCACATGTTGCACCGACTTCGTTCACGGAAGATCCTACGAAGAGTCTCATCGCCGCCGCTGGACTGGATGAACCTGTTTCTGGCCAACGTGCACAGCGAGTCGAGTCAATATATACGTTCTATGACGATAGCAATACCCATGTGGATGCTTGACGACACTCACACATAAGCGGTCGTTTCAAGAAGACAGACTCTTGTCCGAAGTTTTCCGGCGTTCAGTGCCCCGTGTTGTACGATTATTTGCGCCTCTTTTGATTGTACTTCGTTGTGCTTCTATGCTTTCCGTGTAGTGGATTCATGCCCATTGTGACAGGAAGGGCCATAATCTACTGTTGTATCCAGCTAAGCTGTTGTCGTTTCCCCAATCAGCTTGCATGGTTGATTCCTTATGATATATTTATCTCCTGTGCATGCTGTAATGTTGTTTTCGGTGTTTTGAGCGCCTTGCACTGAGTCTTTTTTTCTGCGGACGGTCACATTTACTATCTTCACGATCTACTTACGAGACGTTTCTGTCTCGCATATACCACATGTTTTGTTTTGTCTATTTGCTTTTGATTTAAACTAATGTGCGTACATTGTGGAAATATAGGGTAAATGTTCGTGTTTTGGAGTCGCTCGTACTACGCTTCTAAGTTCTTATCCTCAACCTATGGTCGATGTCCTCACCATGGCCGCTCCCCAAGCGGCTTTATCGATCTAACTGCTCCGTCTGTCCCTCCATAGAGTAGTTCCGCACTATTTTTTTTTCACACCCCACTGCGCTCTCTCAGTACTGCCGGTATATCCGGACTTCCCACAAAAGGGCTGTGTACGCGTTACTTCCACAGCGCCCTCAAACAAACGCTTCCACTCATGCATCATGCGCGGGTATGTACTGAGTTTCTACAAGCCTTCTACAAGCCAGCCCGTATTTGATAAACGTTCGGCCCAAACTCCTTAGTGTTGTGGCATGTATTGCAATGATGAGTGAATCCGAGCGATTCAACCCAAGGAGAACTGATACAGAGTTCGGTAGAATCAGCAATCCATGCGTTCATCGATTTATCTCACGACAAAAAGCTGCAAAGTGCATAATATCACACAAACGTAATGGGTATCGCAGAGCGGTGTGTATTATGAAGCGCATATGAGTCCACATGCGTGACTATGGTTTGTACTTCAGTGGATGATGAATAGGGATGCAATCTATGCACTAATGCAGTATTGCAAGAAAATATCATAAGTAAACATACGATAAGCAGACCAAACAGCAAGACTCTAAATGTCCGTAGACAGCATCATGCGAAGCGAAGAACAGCCTCATAGATCGAATACATTACTGCAGCATTCGGAATGACTCGCATTAGGTGAGCACTGAGGCCGCCATACAGAGAATGTGCGCCTTCTTCGGCTATGACAAGCCGCAATGTCTGCACAAGCCCTGTGTATTTGACCTTGCCGTCGACAAGAGGCTGTCGCAGTCGTGTGCGAAGCACCTAAAAACGCAGTCCATGTGTGTAAGATAAACAAAGAGTAGGAGATACTCACCTCATGCGGGTACGTGATTAGACTTGCTACGCATTTGGCCATCCCTGCGCTACCAAGCATGCCTAACCATTCCTGGAAACCGCCCTTCCCTTTTGTATTTGCAGTTAATCGCTTGAGTCGCTCATATAGCGTCCACTGGATTGTGCCCTCGGTGACACCCAGATAACTAGCACTGAGACCCTTATAGAAGCCGCGCACTCCCTCCTGACGCACAATCTGCTTGATAACAGCCCAGGAGCCACCTACAGTAGCCTGTCCCGACGACTGACTGAGCTGCAAGCGCGTCTTGACGACCCATATGGGGTTGGTCGCGGTACCAGTCACGATGCCTGCACAAGTTGCGGCCGCGAGGTGGACGTAGCTGTTCTCCTGGCCATCGTTGAACTGGTTGGCGATAATGTGCTTCCCGTTGCCATATGTGAAAAAGTTTATCGATCGCGCAGGAATGGCGCCGACCAGCGTTGGACCCAACCCTCGGAAGAGTGCACGAAAGGACTCTTCTCGGTAGATATCACTATGGCCCAGAGCAGAGTCAACATAAGTTCAAGACGTAGTGGCGAAAGAAGACCCAGACGGGCAGGCAGACTGCAGCATATGTTCAGTATAGAGCATTTGCAATTTATGGTTGGTTGTCAGTCGTCAAGCGCCAAGCCCTCTACTCGCACTCGGTCGTTCACTTCAGAGGTTACTCGGAATGCCCGCTGACAAGTGAAACTCTGGAGTGCCCGCCCAAGGTTCATTAAGATAGGTGGAGAAACACTCACCGAATGATGTGACCCGTCTCCACAAAATGCCACAGGAGGTTTGGTCGATGAGGGGCGACCACAACACCGTTCCCAGCCAACCCCAGAGATGCATGCTTCACTCTGAATAAGTCCGACTGCAGCCGTGTTTTGACTACATCAAAAGGGCTGGTGACGATCGCTCCGCACATGCCTCCCAGTCTGCACGACACGCACGCGACCAGTGAGTGAATGTCAAGCCATGCTTGGAGGTCACTCACCCGCCTGCTACGAAATGCTGCCAAGACTTTGCGGGAAGTAAGCCAGTCTTTGAAGAGCTTGCGACGGGTTGTGGAGGGATGCCAGCCATCTCGCTGTATTTGGAGTGGACCAGAATATGCAGCGGATGTGTTGGCTGTCCTAGTAAGGAACAGAGCAAGAGAGACCAGGTAAGCCAGCGGACCAAATTTCGGCATGGGGTTGTAGATAAGATTAGATTGCCGCTCGTAAAGTGAATCTTGAGTCAAAGTCGATCGGGCTTGACTTCCGCATTCAAGTTGACTGCTCAACTACCCTGGCATTGCCCCAAATATTCTTCATGGATACTGGGATTGTATACAAAACATAGATATCTGAGAACGCTAACAAAACATTGTGAGAAATGTTCGTGTTGTCAATTGTCAAGGTATCGCGTCTCTGACTATTTCGATCGTTAGGCGCAAGAACTTACCCGGTCTGTTTTTCAGGATACAGTCGCCGTCCATCCATCCCAGTTTGGTGCACCACCGGAACAATCCATCACAAATGAGCTGAATAAGAAGTACGCGAATCGTGTCCTTCACGATGTCGGACTATGCATCTGTGTGTTCGACTTGTCCGAGGTTGGGGAGGGGAAAGTTAGATATGGGGACGGCTTCCTTTGGTACAAAGGCGAGTGCACAATTAGATTGTCGGAATGTAAAAGGCCACAATAACCTAAATGCTGCAGTCATCTTTCGTCTGACTGTCTTTCGACCATTTCCCTCCGAGGTCATCCTGGCAAAAGTAAAGTCCTCAGACGAGGATGGAATAAGACGTAGGTCTTCCATAATTCAATAATGCACTATCCCTCAGTCCAAGTGCAGTAACAGTAGGTTTCTTTGACGACGTGTATGTTCCCCTCATATACCTTCCGGAACCATCCGCGTTGTACGTTCTTTTTTTGCGGCCGCCCCAACGCTCATCTCACTGCCTGCAGCGACCCAAATGAACGGGCACATTTCTGGCTCCCGGGAGCCGAAGGAAAATCATCACATGAACTCCTTGATTCTGCCACAGCTGATCGAATGTACGTGGATACAGGAGAGGTTGTCCGGGTACGAGTAGAAGCCGACGAGTTTTACGATGATGAACCTGGGCCACCCAAAGCGACAGAGGGTGTCCAACAGGCGCAGGCCGAGGGGCGAAGACCTCCATATACAATCACTGTGGGTCGAAGCCTAGAGTGTCATTCTAAAATCTGACCCCCTACATCCAGTGTTCGATTGCGGAGCAAGGCTTAGGTCCCATTACCTGGTGGAAAAACGCTGGCGTTGAAATGGACGAAGGATGAGGCGAATAACTTAGAAGATGGCCGTATTGTACTAATACCATCCTCGGTTCACATGAAGATTTACAATATACAGTTCAATTGTACAAAGCCGACTCAGTTTTCCTGGCGCCCAAGCTTGTCCAGCGCCCGGATTCCTTGCTCGAACCACTCCTCGCGCGTTATCCAGAACTCTTCTCGGTTCTTCATAATGTCAGCCAATACGGCACCACCGAGGAACACCATATGTTTTCGGCGTGGGGGGTCTTCTATCCGGATCTTGAATTTCTGTAGGGGGTACGTTATTGATTGATAGACAACGATGGCGGGGTTCGGGTACGCACGTTCAGCCGGGATGGATCACCATTAAGTACTTGTGTCAGGTACAGCTGCTTCATCTCCTTCTCGAGACGACTTGGCAGGCCGGGGTACATACTGGAACCACCAGAGAGCACAATGTGCTTGTACAACTCAGCGCGTACATCTAGTGCTGCGTTTTGAATTGTCTGGAACAGCATCTCTGTATAAAATCGTATTCAATACAAGCACACTGATCACATTGAGCTGAATGAAGGTTCACGTTTACCTACCTGCTACTCCCGGTTGCTCAACGTCAACCAGATGCGGCTGGAACATACACTCGGGTGCTTCGAACCGCTCAGACCCAATTTTAATCACTCGGCCGTCGGGCAACTAGGAAAGATGATTTCAGCGCACGAGATTATACTATATAAAGACGATTTACTGTGTAGCTTTCAACGAGAACAGTTGTCTCTTCTGAAAGTCTTGTGTCAAGGTCCAGATCGTAGCTGCATTGGATTGGTCTGTTTTCGGCTCGTTGTAGTCTTGTGATGCGCGTACCTGACATAGCACAGCTTCTCTTTGATTTCCCGTACCGTCTCGAAATCCGCCGTTCGATTGAAGGCGTACCCTCGCATGAGCAGGAGCTTGATTAGATATCGAGTTACGTCCCGGCCAGCGATGTCCAGACGCCTGGTTAGGTGTGGAAGGGCAAATCCATCGTACACAGGAACAATGTGTGTTACACCATCTCCGGAGTCCACCACGACGCCGGTAGTTAGACCTGACGAGTCGAATTATAAGTTAAAACGACAATTAGAATAATATGGTAACAGTTGCACGGAACGAACCTTGCGCATATAACGTCAACACAGCTTGAATCGCAACATACACCCCCCCAAACCCATACTCCTCAAACATGACCTGACACATCCTCTGCCGGTTTACCTTCGGGTTCATAGGAGGCTCAGTGAGTAACACTTTCCTGCCTTGCGTATTTACTCGTAGCTTCTCGTCGAACGTGTAGTCCCAAAGTAGCTTCATATCTTCCCAGTTACGCACAATACCGTGCTCCATGGGCTGGGTAACCTGCAGGTAATTGCGATTCTCTGCGGCTTCGTCACCGATCATGATATCCTTGATTACTGCTGACCCTATCCGCTCCTCTGCTCGCAGAATAGGTCGACCAACAATTGAAGGGAATACTAAAAACCATTGTGTTAGCCCATTTAAATCAACTTATCTAGAAGAGATAGCCATGCCATGTTCAGGGAAATTGGAGCCCGCATAGCCGACCTTCACGAACTGAGCCGCAGTTTTAATAATATTCCATAAGCAAATGACTGCATTAGCACTCACACCAGTACCGTTATCAACCACCAGTGGCACCGAGGGATCCATAATAACCAATTGGAATCGAGTATAGCAGCCTCAGATGTGTGATGATCTCAAGGGAAGCCAAGGACCGTGGCCATAGTCGCGCAGTCACGAGCGTCCAAACACGCGAAGCGACGGTCGACGCGTCGGTAACTTCTTTGTTCTCCCCGTTGCTGAACGATATTGAATGTCGATACCCGTGTATCATATTATCCTTGCAGAAACGCAACTGGTTGCTTGTATCTGATACTTCTGTGCTGGTAATTTACTCGCCCACGTCGCAACGATACAAATGGCTCGCGGACCTGCCTCACCTCCTCCAACTCCTCTTCCGAAAGTCTCTTTCATGAAGGTTCAAGATGAATTTTCAAGCTATCCTATGGGCGTTCATGATGCACAAGCAAAGACATATGGATGTAGGCAGACCATTGTATTGCAAAACAGCTGCTTGTATAACGCGTACCAGATAATGAGTTGACGGACTTCAAGAGGCCCGAGCATTACATTCGCTACATAGGTATGGTAGACTTCATGCTCTTGCTTCAAGCTGTAGCCTTACGGACTTCAGAACCTCTGGAGAGCGATCTTGCCACACAGGTTGAGTATGACATGGATGAGCAAGGTATGTTCACATCATACTCTATCCATCGATGCTTTTGTTTATAAATGTGCAGATCACGAATGGCTAAACACAGTGAACGTCGAGCGAAAGAAGCTGCAACAAGATGGTGTCTCGTACGAAGTATTCGAGATTGTCATGGATCGTCTTGAAAAGGAATGGTTTGACCTGGTATGTAGATGTCACAATTCTCAGTATTGTCTTTGACGCCGAAAAGTGGCTTGCAGACGAAGAATATTCCTAAACCTGATCTAGCTCTGCCTTCGGAAGACTCTACATGCGCTATATGTGATGATTCTGAGGGAGAAAATACTAATGCGATCGTCTTCTGCGACGGATGTAACCTTGCCGTTCACCAAGGTGTTTCCATATACTTTTGTTAATTTAGTTTTGTGTTGACAAGAATACAGACTGTTACGGAGTCCCCTACATTCCAGAGGGCCAGTGGCTATGTCGGAAATGTACTGTCTCACCGGAAAACCCTGTGGTGAGTGCTACGTACATCTTTTGGTTGGGACACTGCTCAAATGCCGAACTAGTCTTGTATTTTATGTCCCAACGAAGGTGGTGCATTCAAGCAGACAGTTCACGGTGACTGGGTGCACCTCCTGTGTGCTATATGGGTTCCTGAGACTCGAGTTGCTAACGACGTGTTTATGGAGCCTATCACTGGTATTGACAAGATATCTAAGCAACGCTGGAGATTAGTATGTACTATATTCCCTTTGATTGGATCTAAATCAATAATATTGTCTAGAAATGTTCTATATGCGATGTCAGGCAGGGTGCTTGTATACAATGCACGAAGGCTTCGTGTTTTTTGGCATTCCACACAACATGTGCCAGAAAGGAGAGATTGCTAATGCCAATGAAATCGTCGCAAGGTTCCGAAGCTCCTACTCTAGCTTGTTATTGCGAGAAGCATTTGCCTGTAGGTCTGCTCTACGATAGCTCCTTACCTGCTAACTTGGCTGGTAGAAAGAACAACAAGATACTCGGGCCGCTGCGCTAGTAGCTGAGAGTAATGATCAACCTGAGGACGATTCTACTAGTCCCAAGTCCTCAAAAACTGCTCGTGCGTATGCGAAAACATACAAGCCTGGTCCTCCTCTTGTGCCTCATATCATCGTGGAGCGTATTCTCCAGTACATCGGCAAAGTGAATATTAGGCACAAGCGCGAATTTGTGATTCTGGTTTGTAAATATTGGAGTTTGAAGCGCGAAGCTCGTAGAGGTGCTGCATTCTTAAAAAGGTTGCACCTGGAGCCTTGGACAGCCTCATCGACAACTAGGCAACAAACAGATGAGGAGAAAGCTATCAAACTAGAGGTAAGTCTCCTCATCATGTAATCAACGTGAAGTCGCTGATTCGCCTGCGTAGTTTATGAGACGTTTGAGGAGGGATCTAGAGAGCATTCGCATGGTAACTGAAATGTGTCGTAAGCGTGAAGCTCTTAAACTCGAACGAGCTGAAAGCAGGCAGTTTGTCTTCGATAAGACTCTGCTCACACACGAGCCTCCTCTCAGAATGGCTTTTGAGAAGATCATAGGGTGTGTGAGGTCCAGTTTCACAATTTTACAATAATTTATACGATATGCAGAGCTGATCGTCAGGAGTACTTCAAGAATCCTGTCTCGAAGCTGGATGTCCCTGACTACTATGATATTGTCAAACAGCCTATGTGCTGGAGCATCATTGACCGCAAGCTTGATAGGCATGAGTACTTAGACCTTCACGAGTTCAAGGTATTACACTATGAATCCCTTTACATGAGATCATTCACGAGCATTGTGTAGGACGATGTCAATCTTGTGATCAATAACGCAATAATTTACAATAAACCGGGGACGCCTTACTACAAGACAGCCCAGAAAATTCAAAGTTCTGCAGAGCCAATCATGGCTGAATTAGATCGACTCGTGAATCACCGGTTTCCTGTGCAAGGCTCCTCAGACCAAGAACAGCCCCAATATTCTACAGGTGGCCTTGAGCCTCCTCTCCATCTCCTCCAATTACTGCTTTCCGAAGACTCTGTCAAGGAAGATCTGGCGCTAATTTTGGATAAGTCACCTCTGGAAGCTCTCTTTAGCTATGAGCTACCTAGAATTAGGCCTCCTCCCCCGCCGAAGCCTAAACGCAATCGCAAAGCAGACCTGGAACGAAAGCGGCAACAACGACTGGAAAGTGCTGCAGAGTTTCGTACACGGACGAGGCGAGGCGCTGCCACCTTTGCTCAGTTCGAAGCAGAAATCCAGGAGACTACCGAGACTCCAGCGCTTACTCCGGTACCGGAAGCTGGCCCGTCGAATGAACTTGAAGTCTCTCAGGTCGCACGTCCAGGTAAACCAGGCCGGAAGAAGCGAATGTCAGGGCCCGGTTTTGCGCATGCCAATCTCCCACCTATGGTAGAGACGGTCGACAATCAGCAATCTTTCAAGCTCTTCGAACGGGGATGGGTCTTACCCCCGGATCAACGGCGAGGAAACCGACCACGTCCATCTTTCCCTACAGCCCCTCCAAAAAAGAAGCTTAAGATTGGTAAGCTCTGCTTGTATATGACTTTTACCCCCGCTTGACCCTGTTCTGCTTTAAAGGTGAACGCGGAAAATATCATATGTTTTCTTTCACCTCGCCTGGTGACGAACACGAGACCTCGCAGGCACAGCTACCTTCTGAATCCAACGTGGGTCCTGAGGAAGACATGATGGAACTAGACGAAGTGCCCATCGCCTCTGCAAAAGACCAACCGGCTGAGAATTATACCGCCACCATAGCAGAACAATCTGTTGAACATCCTATTTCTCATGCGGCAGGGCCGGCCACAGACCCCTCCATCGCCACGGCCGAACAAGTGACTGACCATCATCCTAGTCCCACAACTGAACAATCAAGCGAACAACGTATTGGTGTTGCAGCCAGACAATTGATTGCGCACCCGGATGCTCTTGTAGTGCAAAAACTGATCGACCAGCCTACTAGCCGTCCAGAAATACAGCAGTCAGCTCGACTCCCTGCTGCGGTGGAACTACCGACTGCAATTCTTGCTGGCCATGTAGTAGCTGAACAAACGACCTTGTTATCCGCTGCTTCTGGTACTACAAATCCGTTTGAACCTCCCGCGGTCCTCAGTACGACATCATTCGAAGATGTTACGCCTCTGGCGGACCGACTGACTGAACATCCTGTTGCCCCGGTGGTCAACCAATCAATCCAAGAAAAGAGGGAACTTTCTGCTGGTCCTACTGCGGGACCATCCTCTATGCAATCGGCGTCATCGGCGATGGAACCTGCTGCGGTCGCCATGGAGGTCGATCGGCCAATTCGGAAACCAAAGCCTGTACGGATCGCACGCATTGTCATTGAGGAACTGGATACTCCAGCGATCCGTCGTGAGAAGAATTTACGTAGGAAGGCCGAGAAAGCACGACTAGCTGCGTTGGCAGCGGCAGCGGCCACAGCTAGTCGAGGTTCTTCCTCGATTGGTCCAGACGCCACCATGGAGACTGGGAAAGATTACGAGATGTCTTCAGATCTGTCGTCTCTGAGTGACTTGAGTGACGACGGGGAAGGTACTATGGACGGACAGGTGTCATCACGCACCCCAGATGCTTCTTCCCAACATCCCAGGATCCCAATGACATCAGCTACTGCAGAGCCGGGAGCTGTAGTATTGGAGCCAGGTCGGACATTAGAGGGCGGAACGCTCGGTAAGTTGTTCACTTAATGAGAGAGTGTTGTATCTGAAACGGCTTGTGGTTTAAGTCTGGGCCAAAGCAGGTAATGAGCCTCACTGACGTTCGTTTGAGTGAAACTGACACATCTTTTAGCTACTTTCCCCTGGTGGCCTGCAGTCGTATTTGAACCAGATGATCATACGATACCTCCGAATATGTTGCCAGTGCATCATCGTGGAGACACAAGAGGTCCTATTCATCTTGTGCGCTTTTATGATAGTAAGAGATCATGGTGAGGCTGGTGGTTTCTTCCCCTCGTTACTGTCTCAAGCGTCTTCTTAGGCAATGGGTTACCCTAAATAAAATGAAGATGCTCGGTGAGGACGACGGTGAGCTGATATTCCTCTTGGTCAACACACTTCGTTGAATTTAGGGTGAAGATCTGGATGCGGAGTTATTGGCCAACAGTTCCAAGTTACAAAAGTGGAAGACACCGAAATTGCGCAAGCAATGCAGAGATGCATTCAGGTTGGTTAAAATCACCCCTAGACCTTGCAAAGCTCAATATATCTTCTAGGGAGGCATTGGCGGAGATGGAAGACGCAGGTGTAGATGAGGAGCACGATCCCATTAGCGAAAGTTGAATGACTGGACCTTGCTCGTTTGTAAGTGAAATGAAATGTGTACATCTAGGTCGTCATGGAATGAGAATTTTATTTCTCACCATTTATCCTGGTCTGTGGCAGCCAACTCCGCAAATACGGCATGCATGACACCTTGGTCCCGCATTGCGAGCGGCCTCTCGAGGATATTGCGGTAGTCCCACAAGTGATGAACATTCCACTATCTGACTTCTAACATTCGGGTATATGGTTCAGTTTGTAGGAGTGTTTCTGCCATGGCCGCAGAAATCTGGACGGGGTTCCTTGGTTGGCCTACTGATCGTATCACAAGCGTTATTTGCATGCTGATCAAATTTGTGGACACCAAAGTGGCACTTTCATCGAGGTGTGTGTGTTGAACGACGTATCACTGTCCGAGCATTGATCGGTCCGCAGACACTAGTACACACTGAAAGTGGATATTTGAATTGATGTTCGCTTATGACCTCTACAAAAGATACGGTATCTGGTATGATGATTCCAGGCTCCCATCAATGCAATGCGCGCAAGTTGTGCCGATCTCATCCTGTGGGTGGCAGATCCGGAATGTCCTTTGGCATGGTTCAGCAAGATCATCCTGCAGGAGCATCATGTTTCAAACATATATGCCTTTAAGGTTAGTGAACTCTACTTCTTCGAGTGATATGCGCTCATCGCACCTCGTACGCGCCCTTATCTTATTATTTCGTTCCATTCATGGTTTGCTGGCGACCAGGTGATACCCTACCGGAGACAATCTCATGAGGCCATCCTCTCGACTTTGCCCGATTCGCGAACGGTTCGCTTACAATCGAGATCGATGACATCTCCCGGAGTGCCCATGCTGGGCATGTGGCACTCAGACGTCGTGCTCAATGATGATGCAATTGAACCAAAATCTATAAGTTTGCGAGAACCTCTGCAACCTGCTCCGTGTAATAGGTGTGTCCTCTTTAGTAGCAGCCGTAATACTGAACAGCCAACAACATGCCTTAGTTCGTTATCAAGCCGAGATCGCATACTGATTCCAGAATTAGTGCACCACATCATTAGTTTCCTTTGGGACGATCTGGCCTCACTGCATAGTTGTTCTCTCACGCATCGCTCGTGGTTGGGCCCTTCTCGCTGCACTCTATTTCAACGAGTTCAGCTTCGTTCAAGAAATGCGCTGGGTATGTTTTCTTGTCCGAAATTTCAAAACCGCATGCGACGATATTCCAACATGACGAAAATCCTCGAGATCCACGACTCTTTCGATCAGCCCTTCGCGCATATGGCCCCACACAGGCTACGAGGTTGCATGCCCAATCTTACGACCTTGTCGTGGCATAACGTTAATTTGGGCGGTCGCGGGTCGAGAGTCCACGTTTTTTCATTCTTTAGAGTAATATCTATATTCAGTACGATCACTACGCTCGGGTTATATGGGTGCAACTTTCGCAACTTTTGTGATTTTAGACGTCTTGTTTCCTCGTTCCCGCGACTCAGGAGCTTGATGCTGTGTCGAGTGGACTGGATGGCGGCGACCAAGACTGTTCAACATCACCTGGATCTTCACGTCCATGGGGAAGACACACTCGCATTTGAGTCGCTCGCAGTATGGGACATGCCTGGCGACAGGGTTATGGAACTGTACAGGTGGCTCAACGACACCCGCTCGAAGACAACTATGGGAGTTTTTCTTTGTGGATCACGCATACAAGCTCCGTACGAAGTGGAATCTGAATCTGAAGATCTTCTCGAGGGGTTGACCACATTTGCACTTGCCACGGGTGAGTCAGGACACTGTGGCATTTGCATATGATCTTCTGCTGATTTCTTCGCTCATAGACTTCAAAATCACGTTGATACACAAGCTGCGGCTACGCTGGCTGGCCTTCGTCTGCAATGACACTACGCCATGGTCGTCTCCGGATATCAGCGCATCATGGATTGTTTCCCTGGTTTCTCGACAACGGATCTCGAGGATCACCTTCGATTTCTTCAATGGGACGTGCGGGCCGCTCTCCAAGAGCAGCGATGACTATACTACATCCCCCCTCATAGACATGTTCACATACATACCAGAATTTGCATGCCGGGAGCCAGAGGTAGTCAAAGGAGATATTCCTAACAGTCTGGTATACGGCACGTTGCCTGTGTCAGACGCATTCATACGAGATCTTCTCCGCAGACTGGAGGACGAGCTGGGTCGTAAAGGCTGGTCCTCACGTGGAACCCTCACGCTGCTGCCTTATACTAAACGGATGATTCCTGGAATAGAGTTCTATAGGAAGGTAGTTCATCTCCTTGTGGCAAGTTGGGAGTCATCTCATACTCATTCAATACCAGGTTCCTCGGTTTTATACAAAGCCTTCGGAGCTAGATTTCTGTAAAGGTATTGTGCGATAAAGACGAGTACATATGCCTCACAGAACGAAGCGCCCTATTCCGCATCATGACACATAATTACCGAACTTTTTCTTGATTAAAGGGTCCTGCCTATTGAAGGGATCGGCTTATAGAATGACAGGCTCTCTTGGCAATTCCCAGTCAACGTCACCCGTGTCCTCGAGCTTGTGAAACCCGTGTCTCAATAAATCCCTAAGACTGTCAAATCAGCCTCTGACCTACATGTCCTGGACGTGAATGTCTGACAGACATAGCCTGCTGACTGGTTTCGAAGTCCGTATCGCAAATGTATCAATCCAACAATGCGTACAAAGACGCACTCAGCTGCGCTGTACCCTGATACCGCACGGCACAACGAAGAAATTACCATTTTGTTACAATGAAGAGTCATCAGAAAAGTGTCAGCTGAATAGGGACCCTTTTTCCTTTGCAACATGAGCTTTTCTCCGGTGAGATAAGATTGTTCCATTGTTGTGTGGGAGACCAGAGTGATGAGATGGATTCCAAGCTGCAGCCTGAGATTAGGTTCATGTTGAATGTCTCCACTCAGTGTCCGACAACATTAATGTCACCGACATTTTGGACTAAAGGAACAGATTTATAGGCGCTTATCTTGGCAGTAACCGGGCTGCGTTCTTCGCCTCCTCCAGTCACCCAGTTGTCTTGTTCTGAACCGTGATGCATGTGCCTAGTGGCGATGGTCTGCGGTTGCCGGATCGATTTGTTCCCCGTCTACGATGATGGACTCTGAAGCAGACCGATGGCAATCATTTAATACTTATACTGGAAGAGTTGTGGAAATTTGCTAGTGCAGGGAGCATTATTTATAGCCATTGCAATTGACAATGGCGTCTTGTCCTGCAGCGCCGATATTCATGTACAGGAAGCGCCCCATTGTCAACCAAGAAGGAAAGCATGACGGTAAGCCTTATCTCATTTGATATTTTGTATGCCTGTGGTTGAAGAAGCCTCGGGACTCTCGTCGGAGACCGTCCACAGCCCGAGGGGAGCTGTCTTCGCCAGTATCTTTATACCGGACGCAACCTAACGGCATCTGTAGATTGCACGTTCAGCCCCTCAAATTCCTCGACGCCTAACGAGCGTCTTTCTCGCTCGCTTATATCTATTGATTCTGAGTCGCTATCGAAAGACTACCTACGATGATCAACTCAACTCGGCATGATGAAGCGGCGGCGAAGTGGAGACGAGAAGAGTTCTGATCAGTAAACTGTCCAACCAGAAAGCCATTGATGGCCCTAACACGGGTTCAAAATGTAGACGGTGCGCGTGCGGAAGCATGATGTATGGAAGATGGAAGCAACCCGGAGATTGAGGATGTAATAGGAAGCGCGCAACTGACTCCGTGAGATAGGACTGCGGAGGGCATACATAGGCGATAAAGTACCCTGCAAGACAAGAGTGCACGGTATCCATTCGCCGGAATGTCGCTCGTCAAAATACCTTTCCTCGCAGCCAGTGTGGTTAGTACTTATGTTGCCCTCACACCCCCTACTCCGATGGTCCCTGCAAACCAGCGGCCCAAGAACGCGTCCCAAGCGGAACGGTTTTTCTCGGCTGTCGTCCGAGCTTACAATTCCGTGCAAAAGGTGAGTCAACGCCGCCAGCTCAAATAGTCAACATGACCATTTCTCATTGGTGGTTACCATTCAAAGACACTTGTCTGTTCGAGTGCCGTCCTTGAGGGAATAGTGATCCTAGCAAGGCAGTGGCCGTCGCATCCGTTGTCGCAACAAGTACTGACTCTGCTCATTCGTGGCCCCCACGCGCTGGCGGATCGGATCGTGCCAACCTCCATGTTCTTTGTTGGCTGCGGCCTCGCTATAATCGGAGGACTGGTCCGCTACCAGTGCTACCGCACGCTTGGACGCATGTTCACTTATGAAGTGGCCATTCACGACGACCACAAGCTCGTGACAAGCGGTCCGTATGCTGTGGTTCGCCACCCGAGTTACCTGGGGGCTATTGTGTGTGCCATAGGGATGGGGATTTGCTCCATCACGGCCAGTGGGTCATGGTTTAGGGAATGTGGGATTTACAACACGCCTCTAGGGCACGCAGCACCGTGGGTGAACAGGATATTGGGTGCGTTTGGTATGTGGATGTGTATAACACGCACATCCGAGGAGGATGCATTGCTGAAGGAGCAATTTGGGTCACAATGGAATGAATGGGCCAGGAGGGTTCCTTACAAAATGATACCTTACATTTACTGATCTCGTCTCTAGTTGTCGAGATTTATAGAAAAGATCTCCGTAGCCATTATACAGAATGAATTTCTTAATGCGGCTTGGTGAGCGATCGTCGATTAGTGGCGTTGGTGCGATCTTGGGCCAAATAGAGTGCCGCAGACCAGCAGCGTGCCGCAGGACACTTCGAGATCTTAATGGACAGTCACCGCACACCCTCAGGCGTCAGGCCTCGACCACGGAGGGACCAATCATTGGGGATACGCGGGAATCGCATGATATTCTGTACAGTGTGTATTGCGGCCGCAGGGATGCCACGGGTTGTGGGCATACATTCGATAAAAATGGCGCAAATGAATATTTATCATAGTGGCTCAACTCCAGCTTCCCAAAGTCACAATATCGGGATGACCGGTTCTATGCGACACCAGGCTAGGAACTGAGATTACTGATGGGCGTCGCTGGTAGTGAATGGACTCGCACTGACCTCAACTAAACCATGCTCACCGCCCACGTTCGAGGGCTCCCATATCTTCTAACCTTGTAGCCTTGGGCGTAGACGCGTCACAGACGCAATCTGAATATATATGATTGAGCCAAGACAGCCAGAGGGATTCATGGTGACCTATAGCTCTTCGTGCTTGGCTCAATCCACGGAAGCTCAGATTCCCTGGCTCTTGTCCGTAGTAACTTCGATTCCTCCAGTGTCGCATGGGAGTTGCGCCGCGTAGCCACTTATTGCTATACACACAAATTCGGATCGTCGGTATCCGACCAGACTGCGCTTGCCCGGGTCTTTTGCCGTTAGATAACTCCTGACCCATTTTGAAGTACTTGTAGTGTGCTAGATTCGTTATTGAGCTGCGATCGAAGGACAGTCTACAAGGAGCAGCAACAAACAGCGATATGATGTGGTGATTTGTGAAGTGGAGACAATAAAGTCTTTCTGGATCGTGAGCAGTACCTCGCAGCCTGCGAGGAATGTTTCTGGAAATCTCGCTCGTCAGAGCATCCGATGTAGTAAGCGCCTATGTTTCTCTCTCGGATGCTCATGCAGAACGTGTCCCGAACAGGGCGTAATTACTCTGCTCGTTCGTGTCCCCAACGTGCTTGCGGGTTGGATCGTGTCATCTTCATGTTCCGCGTCGGCTGCGGCTGTGCTGTATTCGCGAGACTGGTCCACTACCAGCGCCATCGCACGCTTGGGCGCATTTTCATTCATTCATGACGACCACAAGTTCGTAACAAGCGGTCCGTTAGTACGTTGTGGTCGGCTACCCTGCGGTTAGTGTGGCGAGACGGGGATGGGGATTTACTACGCGGCAAGCGGATCCTGAGTGATCCAGGAAATACGTAGCCCGAGCAACATTTTCCCGGATGCTGCCGCAATGTGGATGTACGGTTATCGGTGGATGTGTGTAAGACGAACGCCCAATGAAGATGCGTTGCTGGGTGCACAGTTTGGGACACAGTGGAATGACTGGACAAAGAGGCTGCCGTGCGAGACGTCCATATGGAAACAGGGACGGACATGCTCACGCCACACGACTCCAGCCACAGACGGATCACGCGGCATAACTTGGCCGTCGTTGGCCGAGTATAGAGACCTCGAACACCTGTCCTGCTGGATCATAGATCGGTTCGCAGTTCATCTGGTGGTTCACCCTGCGCAGTGCAGGAATGGGTTGATCGCGCACTTAATGAATGGCAAAGCGTGCAGCTCTTTGTCGTAGTATACATTGCTTACTATGGATCGAATAGTATCCCAAGCCAAGACTAGTACAGTGTATGTACAGTGAGGAAACAAGATAGAATGCCGCTGTGGTGTCATCGTTAGACCGCATATCAAGGAATACAGAGGCGAAGTCAGAGAATGGTATGCTCATTGTTGATACCATCGAATGAAGTTGACGATGCGGATATGGGGGAACAGGAGAGCACGGGCGAAGGCAAAATCTCGGCGCAGCAACTGCCATCGCCGTGCACACACGTTGCTTGGGGTGTGCATCATCCATTCACGTTCCTTCCCATGTATGAGGGAAGGAATGCATTGCCAAGATCTTTGGTCATTGCAATCGTCTTCAGGTTGTGCAGGTGCTGTGCGATGCTGGCAGACGGCTGCACGGGGGGTGCGGATAGCTGTGGTTACTGCTTGTCGTGCACGGAGGAGGGCAGGGTGGACAAGGACGCCGCAGGTATGGAGTCCTGTCTTATGGAAGGGACAACGGCAGGAGAGGCAAGCAGGCGGCTAGAGGCGATGGGGCAGATGGCCACGGCAGTGGCGCGATGAGCCCGCCGTCATTTTGGTATTCAGCGGGATGGAGGTGGGTGGATGGGCGAGATGGCGGCAACACAGAAAGGCTATCATCATCTTGCCATTCAGCGAGATGGCGGCGGCACAAGGAGGCCATCATCGTCTTGCTGCGCAGTGAGATGGTGGTGGCAGACAGGCGAGCAGGTGATGGGAGTGGGTGACTGGGCGAGACAGCAGCGGTTCAGAAAGGCTGCCATTATTCAGCGAGACAACGGCGACATTGGAGTGTGATGGAGGGTT